CTCGAACCCGCGGGCTCAGGCAATCCACTCACCTCAGCCTCCCAAGGCATGGAATTACAGACTGAGCCACTGAGCCCGGCTCCTGGCAGCATTTAAGAGTCATAATATGGCCAGGCCTCGTGGTACACACCTATAATCCCAGCTACTCAGAAAGCTGAAGCAGAAGGATCACTCGAGTCCCTGGTGGAAACCAACCAGGGCAATATACCAAGATGCCATCTCTGAAAAAAATTATTTTTTTAAGTTAGCATGGTGGTACATGCCTGTAGTCCCAGCTACTCAGAAGACTAAGGCAAGCTGGGCTCGGTGGCTCAGCCTGTAATCCCGCACTTTGGGAGGCTGAGGTGAGTGGATTGCCTGAGCCCGCGGGTTTGAGACCTGCCTGGGCAACTTGGCGAGACCTCATCTCTACAATAAATCAAAAAAATCAGCCGGGCGTGGTAGTGTGTGCCTGTAATTCCAGTTACTTGGAAGGCTGAGGCGGAAGGATCGCCGGAGCCCAGCAGGTCAAGGCTGCAGTGGCCAGAAGCGGCCACTGCACTCCAATCTGAGCGACAGAGTGAGACTCCAACTCAAAAAAAAAGAAGACTAAGGCAGGAGGATCCCTTGTACTAGGATTTCAAGGCAGCAGTAAACCATGATAGTGCCACTACGCTGCAGCCTAGCCGACAGAGAAAGACCCTGACTCTTTAAAAAAAAGAGAGAGAGAGAGAAAAACAAAATCAGGTGTGGAGGCTCACACCTGTAATCCCAGTACTTTGGGAGGCTGAGGTAGGCGAATTGCTTGAGTCCAGGAGTTTGAGACAAGCCTGAGCAAGATATCTAGACCTCATCTCTACAACAAATAAAAAAATTAGTCAGGTGTGGTGGTGTGCTTGTAGTCCCAGCTACTTGGGATGCTGAGGTGGAAGGATCAAGACTGTGGTAACTGTGAGCTGCACTCCAGCCTGGAATGCAGGCTGGAGTGAGACTCCAACTAAAATAAATTTTTAAAATAAAAAATTTTGAAAACAGGAAGGTAGGGAACTACCCCAACAATGAAAATAATATTTATTTATTTATTTTATTTATTTTTATTTTGAGTTGGAGTCTCACTCTGTCGCCCAGACTGGAGTGCAGTGGCCGCTCCCGGCCACCGCAGCCTCGACCCGCTGGGCTCCAGCGATCCTTCCGCCTCAGCCTTCCGAGTAGCCGGAATTACAGGCATGCGCTACCACGCCCGGCTGATTTTTTGATTTATTGTAGAGATGAGGTCTCGCCAAGTTGCCCAGGCGGGTCGCGAACCCGCGGGCTCAGGCAATCCACTCACCTCAGCCTCCCAAAGGCGCGGGATTACAGGCTGAGCCACCGAGCCTGGCTGAAAATCATATTTAAAAACTAGTATGTGCATACTCATCTTAACTTTAAAAAATAAAAACTATATTCACAAAGTTTAGAAAAACTGAGAGATACACAGAGTCTATTCTTCACTTGTGAAGTAAAACGGCATGAACACTTGGCAAGCTTTGTGTTGACGGGCAAGAGGCATACAGAGACATGCACTGTCCGAGTGCAGTGCTCAGTGACTTTCCTCAAACTCAAGGCATTCAGGGTGGCACGCGGCAGCTTCTGCACCCCAAGGGGTAACTGCCATCCTCTTCAGGTTGTTTCTGCCTGGTTTTATGTCTGTTCTGTACTTTCTATTTTTTGAAACCTACTCTGTTTCCTCTCTTGTGTCTGGCTCCTGTTGTTCTGCAGCACATTTTGAGACTATCCATGTTGCTGCATTTAACTGTAGGTCATACATTCTCACAGCCAGGGGGTGTGTGTGTGTGTCAGAATCGTGGTTAGGGGACAAGGGAAGCAGTGGAGAATATGCACAATGTAATTATCCATTCTTCTGTTAATAGGCCCTTGGGTAGCTTTTAGAGTTATTGCAGATAGCACCACTGTGAACGTCCTGGTCCTATTCTTTGGTGAACATCTGTACATGTTTGTCAGGTCTGTTTAAACTCCTGCGGAGAGCCACTGGGTCACTGGGCACACATACGTCCAGCATGACTTTACCACCAACCAGTGTTCAGCGTGGTGGTTGTTCTGATTGGTGCATGGGAATTCCAGCTACTCTGACCTTGGTGGGAAGGTAGTGATCTGCCTTTCTATGGCTGTTAGTGAAGTTCAGTACTTTTCCAGATATTCTTTCCACTTATACAAATGTTTATATGGATGCCCTTTGTTACGTGCCTGTGAAGTCCTTTGCCTTTTTTCCTGTTGGGTTGCCGGCTCCTTCTTTGTTTTATAGTTATTTATTTTGGATTTGAGTCCCTTCTTTAGTATGTGTATTGGAAATATCTTCTACTCAGTGACTTGACTGATTTTTTTAATCTGCTTTTTCAGTGAACTGGAGTTTTTAAATATTAACATAATAATCCAGAAATCATTGCCTTTTCCCAGCTTATGAAAATGTTTTCCTCTGCTTTCTCACTCTCTTGTTTTTTTGTTTGTTTTGTTTTGTTTTTTAGTTGGGGTCTCATTCTGTCACCCAGGCCGGGGTGTTGGCATGATCACAGCTCACTGTAGCCTCGAATTCCTGGGCTCAAGAGATCCTCCTTCCTCAGCCTCCCAAGTAGCTGGGACTATGGGTGCATGCTAACACATCTGGCTAGTTTTTCTATTTTTTGTAGAGACAGAGTCTCGCTTTGTTGCCGAGGCTGGTCTCGGAACTCCTGGTCTCAAGCGATCCTCCCACCTCAGCTTCCCAAAGTGCTGGGATTACAGGCGTGAGCCACCCCAACTCTTCTGCTTTCTTCTTTAAAGTGTTATTTTTTCGCAAAATTTTTGTCATATTTTACAGCTGTCTCTGTGATACCAGCTGTATTTCAGTATCCATCTATAGAAATATTGATAAGAAACTTCAGTAAAGCTTTTAAATACATTTGTAATTTATTCACAACAGTGTCTATATGAACATAGTTGCAAGACATACTAGAAGACCCTTTCTTGTCAGTGTAGAGACCATACTGTGTGCTGCCCACATGGGTCTGCAGGCTGCTCAAAGTCGTGGCAGCTCAAGGCTTGACAATCAGGGACCTGAGAGCTGGCAGAGATTCCCTCTTAGGCTTGTTCATGTCAGGAGATATATGTGTCTATTTATTCCGTGTTTACAAAACGTCTCTATGCCAGGTACTGTGCTAGAAAAACACTGGAGACACAAAGATGGGGAATCAGGATGTCTTTCATAGAAGAGGCTAGGGTCTAATGCGAGGGAGATGGTCATGTCAGTGAGTGTGTGGTAGCATGCTCCTAGGGTCATGACTGATACAAGTGTTGGAGATGTTGCAGAGAGTCAGGAAGCAGGAGGGAGTCAGGAAAGCCTTTGTAGAAGGAGCAGCCCATGAGTTATCAGCCAGGTAGGTAGATGGGTGAGTGAATGATTCTCTCAGAACTGGCTTTATGCTTCACGGAGCAGTCAGGTAAAACCTGTTTATTCTCATGCATTGTTGGTAGGAGAACAAAGTGGCACTACCTCTTCAGAGAGCAGTTGGCAGCATCTGTCAAAATTTAAATTGCACATTCTTCTTGCATTTGTGCTAGACAGACACTGGGAGTACAGTGTATGTGGCACACACATGCCCGGGAGCGAAGGAGCGTGACCTGGCTCTTCCTCGCCTGGTGATTTATCCCACACACACACACACACTCACACGTTCACAAAGATGCTTTTGTACCATTGTTAATAGCATGAAAATATTGAAAACAAGCTAAATATCCATCAATAGAGCAATGGTAAATAAATTATGGGACACCCATACAGAGCAGTGTGTTAGAACTGTGAAGAAGACGTTGCAGCTTCCGGGTGCTATGATGAAGCAGGCTCCAAGTTGCTGAGTGAAAATAGGAGATGACAACAGTGCACACTGCCTGCTCCCAGTTGGGCTTAAGAAAGGGAAGATGGGCCAGGTGCGGTGGCTCACCCCTACAGTCCCAGCAGGGAGGCTGAGGTGAGAAGATTGCCTGAGCCCGCAGGTCCAAGACCAGCCTGGGCAACTTGGCGAGACCTTGTCTTTACAGTAAATCAAAAAATTAGCCAGGAACGGTGGTACACACCTGTGGTTCCAACTACTTTTTAGAAGGCTGAGGCAGAAGGATCGCCAAAACCCAACAGGTCAAGGCTGAGGTGGCCATGAGCATGCTACAGCACTCCAGCCTGGGTGACAGAGTAAGACTCCAACTCAAAAAAACAGATTTTTTTTACATTTGGGAAAGCTAGTGATAGCTGGAAAAGTCTGGAGTTCATAGTGATGTGGCAGTGTTGACTTGTTCATTCAAGTGTCCAATGGTAGTATGAGCCAGCAGCCCTAGGGGAGACTGGGTGAGAGGTGGCCAAGAACTCTGGAGCATCTTTGCAACTTGTCTATAAATCTAAAATTTTTCCAAGGTTTATTGAGTATTTTTTTTTTACTTTAATGAAGCCTGTCAGATTGCATCTGCAAAATTGTTGTATCTGAGAATGAACAGATTTAGAAAGTTAAAGTTCATCCTTTGCCTCCTCTCATCTTGGTTTAGGTCGAAGAATTCCATCCTCTGACGCCAATCCGCCATCTGGCGGTAAGGGCTTCAAACTCCGAAGACAGCCTTCAGAGCCTAAGCGAAGCTGCTGTTGACTGAGCCTCAGCCTCTCAGACTCGATGGTGAAGTAGGTGGTCCTGAAAGTTAACAGGAGGGCTGGGGTCCCTGCCACCACTTTTCACCTAGCCAGTCTTGAGTCTTCTTCATGCAAAAAGGATTCACAGAAATTGACCGGTCTGTTCTCTCTTCAAAGACTGCAACAGTGATGTTTCAGTCTGTGGACTTCTGTTATGTAAGGAATCTCTGGTACAAAGGGACTGCATCGTTGGCTTCTGACCTCGCCGGAAAGGAACATATGATTGTGTGGATGGGAGGATTAAATTGCTGGGTAGTTTTGTAATCAAGATTTTATGTAACATTTGTAAAGGGAAAATAAGCACTTTGCTGGGTTTTGAGGGGAAAAAAACCTTGTGAAGATGACCATTTCCTTGGTTTCTGTTACCACTGTTAGAGGGAGTTGTAGCCTTTAAAATGTGGTAGGATATTATAAGCAGAGAGATGGCAATTATTATTTGAAGCTAAAATGGGTTATTTATAGGACTGCTGGAAACGATTTCATCTCTAAAGCACTTTTCATTGAATTTGTTAGCCTGGAACACGTACAGAAAATTAACAGTGATGATAGCAGATGCCTGGCTCACACTGGCTTTGCTTCTGACCCTGTCATTTACGTGTCACCAGACACATTATTGGCACCTTTTTAAATAAGCTCTCCTGATCAGGATGGTGTGGTAAAGAAGCTGCTTGGAATAAATTGAATTGCATATGTTCTAAACTGAGTAGCAGTGGCTCTAAAAAGAAGAGGAAAGAAAGTGAAGAAAGTGGTGTCAATGCTGTCCGTTTTTATTTAATCCAAGTATTTTAGTGGGGAAGAACAAGTATCAGTTGCTTCGCATATGTAAAGTTGTAGTCTATATTTATGAGTCCATTGCTTAAAGATGATAAATTATGTAAATATAATACATGCGTGAGTTTCATTTGCCATTCCATTGAATCTCGCTCCCAACCTTGCGTGTGCTCACCCCTTTTCCAGCCTGTCCATGGGAGACTGAAGCGCATTTGTGCTGTGCAGAGGCGTATAGCACTCGCTTACAGCCTTTCAAGATTTCGCTGCCTTCCCTTCTACCCGCCCCTCTTCCCTCAGGATCCCATCTGGAAGTCATAATAAAAACATATGCCACTTTGACAACCCTGACTAGTCCTTACTAGCCTTAGGGTAAAAGATTAAGCTCCTGAGCTCAAGTCATTTACCTGGTCTTGATAATAAGTTTCTTTTAGCTTTTACAGTGACCTCAGACCAACTGTTTTAAGAGAGCTCTTCTTGTTAACAATTTCGCTTATCTTTTTGTTTCCTTTATTTTCCCCTGCCTCTGTTAGTGGTTAACACTCTTTTCCCTCAGGGAGCCTAATGAGGTTTTTAATATAATCTAAAAATAAAGCACTGAAGTGAAGTTGGTGAAAATTTGTTCCTGGTCTAATTTGGCACCCTTCCAACCTGAGTATTGTAAGGGAAGGAAATTTACAAGATTAAATAGGAAATGAAGCAACTTGAATTTAAAACTAAATGGTGTTTTCAGAGCGACCCTTAAACTGAACAATCGAAACTTTTTAAAATAATTATCTCTTTGTGCCCCCCACTTCATGTGGATTTCAGTGGGAAGATTATAACTCAGGTTAAGTTAAAAAAAAATTATCTTTTCCCTGTTGATCATCTTAAGAACTTGAAATTGTTTTTGTTTTTGTTTTTTTCTCTTACTGGAATCATACAGTAAGAATGTACTTAGTGAAAATTCTGATGTTCTATTTAAATACATGTGGACTCTGTATCCCCCTAGGATCTTGCTTCCTAACCAGCATTAAATAGAGAAAGCATGTAATCGCTAGGGCTTGTCTCTTTCCACCTGCGGGAGGTTGAACTGTCTTCTATACATCCAGATGGATTGAGGCATCTGGCCCTGGTATGTCACTAGAATTCCCACTGCCAGCCCCTAGCTCCTCTATCTCCATGACAACAAAATAAAAACAAAGGTTGCTTGGCTCATTACTGAAGAGGCAATGTGCGTGTGGCCCTTTCTGTTTTATTTGACCAAAAGATGACGCAGATCTATGACCTTCACATTTTTTCCACCAAACCTGCCAGTGGATGTTAGTGATTGTGTGAAGTCTCCACAGAGATCTACACATCTCACCCAGCAGGGTTCCATCTCTTCAGCCCTTTGCTGATTTCATGATTTCTCATACTTCTTTGTATGTGGGGAGCTGTTACTGTTTTTTTTGTTTGGCTTGCTTTGTTTTTTTGGTGTTTTGGGGGGAACTTTTGTTATAGCCACATGTCTTATTAACAGAATGAATGAGGGGAGCGCTTGTGCATGTATTTCTGGGGCCTCTTTCCTATTTTCATTAGTCTAAGAAATTGACGTAGCACTGTTTCTGATGGTAGTACCTTTTTAATGCTTAGCAATAACAACAAAAAATTGCTGTCTCAGATCCATAATCCATATCCAGTGAAAAAAGGGAAAAAAATATTTTCACGTATTTTGTTTGCTTCTAAAATGCAAAGATGAGCATTAAAGTCAGAAGCAGTGCTTTATTTTGAACATATTTTGGATTATTAACCTCACTAAGCAATGATCTAATACATATTTCATATTTTCTGTTATTATTGAGAAGAGGCTAGATTTCAAAGGAATTGAGACATATCCTTTCTATAAAAATCTTTTGGTTTCCTAATGACGCAGGGACTGAACAGAAGAGAAAAATTATTAATTAGCTGTAAGTGTATATTAATTCCTTTCCGAGAAATTGAAATAAGCTCTTTGCAGGTGTCCAATCCTAGAAATCATTGGTCTCCAGAACTCTCCTTCCACACAAGTGTTTTTCTGATTCTCTGATAACTAATTAACTATCATTTGATGATTAAAAGAACATAAATTAAGAGTATGATTAAGTGTCCTTCATGTTAAACTCTCTGTAAGAAGTGATTAGAGAGAAGTACCTAATGCAAGCCCTTCTGGCTTGAAATGAAACCTCTGTCACCTGCTCCTCAGTGCCAGTCAGCAGAAGTTCTCTGCAGAGCAGCTGAAAGATTTAATTTCTTTTAAAGTAACCTACTTCCTTGTTAACCCACTGATGGTGTATGAAGTGCCTGCCTCCCAGGTGTACAAGCTGCCCGGGTGCCTGTCCGTGTCTGAAAGGATCGAGACTTTTGTGTTAGAGACTTGATCTCCTTCCGTGGGCCAGTGTCCTTGAGGTTGTCAATTCCCCTAAATATCTAAAGGGAAAGAAACGTGCATTGAATTTCAGAACTTCTCTTTAAGTCTTGTATTTATTTCTTTCCTATTCCTATTTATGTCTGTATTTGTAGGGCATTGTTTTAAAATGGGCAAGTTAGATTCAGATGACACCACACTCAGGGGCTTGCCAGCCTCCCAGCTCAAAAAGGCATTTATTCATTATTGAATGCATCCTGTATGTTCTAAGAGTGAGTTGCAAACGTGGTTATATAAATTCTTTTTTGGTACTTTTTTACTCATTCTTTGAAAACACACCAAGAACCTGATTTATGGGCCCTTAGTGTGTAAGCTATAGGTGCACAGTTTATTATTTAAATAACAGAAGAGCCCCCTTAACATCCACGTGTCTGCAAGGATGACAGAATTCTTTTCTTCCAGATAAGTTATTAGAAACCCCTTCACTAATACACACTAGGTACTTGCTTTAGGACATTTGGGAGATGACAGCCCACAAGCTTCTTCTTCCTCACTCGATAATGAAAGTTCAGTGAAAAGCTTGGTGGTGTGAACCTGTAAAAATCTTCAATATTTACATTTGTCTTAAAGGGACTAATTTTAAAGGGACAATTTTACTATTTGACTTCAAGGGATTTTCTACCTCTTAACAGTTAATATTTTTTAAAGGAAAAAATGGAACATACCTTCAAGGGTCAGGCCTTTAGCATATTCCTACCTTTGGTTAGCTTGGTACATCCAAAAAATGTTAGAATGATTCAAAGTAATGTTGAGGATATTTGTTTAAACTCTTGCTATGATACTATGATAAAAAATAGTCCAAACAACAAATTTATCCAGGAGATAAGCATCATACTTTATAGTTTTAGGAAAGCGAGGTGGGTGGTAGAATTTAACTGAGAACTTTAAAAAACAACCTCTGCAAATGTCTCCCTCTCTTTTTTTAATATAGATATTTTTATTGTGTGTGTGTATATATATATATATTAGGTATACAGTTAAAAAGTAATACAAATCCTACTCTCTAGAACATGAGACAGTACATAAAACAAAGATCATACAAATGAATGATCTTCAACCATATTCATATTTCACACATAATTTTTAAACTAATCTTTTATGATGAAAAATTGTTTGTATTCAAGGAACACTGTAAAACAGCTGACAAAATGTATCTATCTTAAAAACTCAGTCTGCTGAGACTGACAAGGCAGGATTCACTTTCTGAGGTGCCAAAGGGCAACTGATACTGTAACTTGAGTGTTAGTGAAGGAACCCCCGCCCATGGACACTTAGGATTTGTGGGTATATGGCCAACTTGAGGCCTGAGGGCAAACCAAAGCCACAGAAAACAAAGTCAAACATCCCAAGAGTAATGAAAACCACATTGCTATCAGAGCTTTATTTCTCTTCTGTTGCTTCAGTTTCAGAGTGTCGGGCTTAGTGCTAGCAATTTAGGAGTTTTGTGGAGACTGTCTGACTGGTGTTAAAAACTTCAGCTGTTTACATGCAGGATTTGCTACATAAAGTCACACCTTTTTTACGCATTGCAAGTTTGGCATAGTGGGCACAAAATATTTAATCAAGCAGCCTACTATAGTTGCTGTAATGCAAGTTTTAAAATCATTGGTTGGATCTTTTGTCATCATGTACTTTTTCACCATCTTGAAATAGCACATCTCTGTGACGTTTATTCTCCATTTCCAGTTTTCCTGGCTCTAGATTAACACCTGTACCTCCAGTGTTGACTTCTTGTACTTGTTCTTTAGTTGCACAAGCCTCCTCGATATTTTCTCCAAAATTGGCTTTTTCCTAATGCTTCATTGTTAGAATAACTACAATTGTATATCTCATCTCTTCGATAGGCTGAGCCCCTGCCAGAATGCCCTTCTCATAGATCACAATAATATTTTCAGTAGGACTTGTGATTGGTCAATACGTGCAAGACATATCCTTTTTTTTTTTTTTTTTTTTTTTCAGTTGGAGTCTCACTCTGTTGCTCAGACTGGAGTACAGTGGCCACTCCTGGCCACTGCAGCCTCGACCCACTGGGCTCTGGCCATCCTTCCACCTCAGCCTTCCGAGTAGCCAGAATTACAGGCACGTGCTACCATACCTGGCTGATTTTTGGGGTTTTTTTTATTGTAGAGATGAGGTCTCGCCAAGTTGCCCAAGTGGGTCTCTAACCTGCAGGCTCAGGCAATCCACTCACCTCAGCCTCCCAAAGCGCGGGATTACAGGCTGAGCCACTGAGCCCGGCTTTACATATCCACTTTTTAACAGGTGTTTCGATTTGGCCAAGTATTTTTTCTTTTGGGCATCCCTCATTGATCAGCTTCAGCCATTCAGGAAATGTTTTGTGTACTTTTTCAGTCATCTTTGTTCGTCTTATTCTGCCATAGTAGTCCAAAAGGACCCGACTGGTTTTTCATTTTTTCGTTCAGGTTCACACTGGGTAACTGTTGGGATGGGAGGCCTTTTCAACACTTTTCCTTTGGCAGTTCTCCACTCACTTCAACAAGCTTTTCTCTCTTCTGCAGTTTCTTTGGACCAAACTGATCTACTATCAACTTCTGTTGACTTTGGAGATCATCTTCCGTTGATTGTAATAGTTCTTTTTCAGGAGGCTCTTTCTGGAGTGTAACATTGGCAGAGGCTCTACTATGCCTTGTTTCATGGTGTTCTGGATATTATTGTGACTTCTAATAGGAGGTTGCACAAGTTGTGTGTCCTGAGAGGTAGTGCTCACAAATTTAGTAGTAACTATCATATTTGAGACTCTCACTTTTCACTGTTATATTGCTTGTGTTTGTAGGCCGAGGCTTGGTGACTTTGGGAATAGTAGGTGGCTTTAGGAATAGTAGCTGAACGTTTCTTTGTTACCGCACGATTCTCATCTTTGACTTGTAGTGGTTTTCTAAATGAATTAATCTTAGACTGAACAATTTGCATCTGAGTCTGTATTTTTTTTTAAAGACAAAATGCCTGGCTTAATATCATATGTTGACTTTGGAAATCATCTTCAGTTGGCAGAGTTTGATTATTTTCCTTAGATTTATATGTATCAATTACTACAGTTGAATTGGTTAGTTCATTAGAAGGTTTTAAGGGAATACAGTTTTTTTCTACCATTGTATCAGTTTTCATCCCAGCAGAGCTATGGACATTTTCTTTATCAGCCATTTTTTTTTAAAGTTTCAGAACTTCTGTCCCTTCTTGAACCTGGTCCTCAGGTGTCACTACTCTCTGGCCTTTACTGCTTTGAACAAGGACAGGACCCTCTGACTAGGGGACAGCTGCGCATTTCGGCGCACAGCTGGGGTGCTCTTCACAGCCTGGGATATGGGGAACAGCCTCTGTTTGACCACCCAGAGCTCTCTGAGACCACCGCCAACACACACTATGAACTCCGCCTCAACTCGGGACTCTGCAAATATCTCTTGACAGCAGAGTTGCTTG